CCCCAAAACCCCAAAACCCCAAAACCCCAAAACCCCAACAAGGGAGATATAATTTGAAAATATAAAAATTAGCCGGCTCCATGGACTTGTCTCCTTAGCCTCTTGCATCTCTTAGATAAGGCATCAATGATACTGCTCAGCTCCTTGATAGTCTTAGCTTTCTCTCAGAGTTCTTTTTGGAATTTTCTATGAAGAATTATATCAAAAGTACCCTTTCTGAGATTGAAGTTGGCTAGTGAGCATTGAGACCTTGCTTAGTAGCATTTGCTCATTAATTTTCATTAGTTCTTTTCATAAAAGATTCATATTCTTCACCTGAGATCTGGTCGCCTTCTGACTTTAGTTCATGTAGTGCCTTCTTAAGATTATCTAGGAGTTATGAACAAACTAACCTATTTCATTAGAATATGCTTGGCAATCATCTTTTAAAATCTGGTTCTCATCCTGCAAGGCCTTAAGCTCAAGTTTCAAGTCTAAAAGGGTAAAAACTACTCATAGGCTAAAACTTCTTACTCATTGTAGTCTCTGGATCAGTATCTATAGAAATGTAGTAGTTAGAGAGCTTACCTTTGAGATGTTTATTTATGCCTTCAAATTGTTCATCAGCAAGGTTATCTTCAAATTCATCTTGATGAATCTGACTCAGAGTCTCCTCTTTTTCTTGTTCAAGCTCCCTCACTTTGGCCTGGTACTCCTTCTGCTCTATCTTTAAGTTATTGATTTCTTGAGTAAGTTTCTCAATTTGAAGGGTGAATTTAGGCTTTTCGAAGCTTCTTTCTTTCTCTCTAAGTTTTTCAACTTCTGCCATAAGCTCTTCCATTTGTTGGTGGTTTTGTTCATTTTCCTTCTCAACAGTATCTATGAAGCCCTCTAACTTCTTATAGTTACTGCTTAGGGAGCTGATTTTCTCATCCTTTTGGTCAATGATCTTCTTTTTACAAGCAATTTCTCCATCTAGGTTGGTAATCTTAGCCTTCAGCAAGCCTATCTCTTTGTTCTGGTCACGTTCTTTGGAAAGAGTTGACTCCTTATGACTATTGAAGGAGGAGATCTGACGACTAAGATCAGCAATTTCAGATTCATGTACCTTCATTGCTGACAAAGAGTCAGCGAGTTCTGACTTCAGACCTTCAATTTCCTTGTTCAGGTCTAAAATTTGTGACTGATAGAGATCATTTTTAGTGCTGAGGGTTACAATTTCAGACTCTTTTGAGATGAGCTCCTTCCTGAGCATCTCAAGTTCTTGTTTGTTTTCATCTAAAATGAACCTAGAAACTTACTTAAAGTCTGTGTTTCCATATCCTCAGTAGGAACCAAAGGTTTTCTGGCAGGGACTGCTTCATTATGATTGATGCCTTTGAGCTCCCAGAAGAAACCTTTTGTCAAGCTTTCATCCAAAATCTGGATTTCTACAAATTATGAAGCATTTTACCTTTAGCACTGGAGAACTGGGTCAGGTCCATTTTTGAAACCTCATCTACAGATTTAGGAGGGCTATCCTACCTTTGAGATATTTATTAATGAAATTATTAGTAAGCTTGGGAAATTTCAGGTTTACCTCCATCTCTTTATAATCCTCTTGCTCCAGTATCTGCTCTTTCAGAGTAGATATATTATCCTTCAGGAGCACTAAGAGGTCGATCTTATCAATCTTGACAGAAGAAATTTTTGAACCTAATGAGAACAATGGGCTCTCCTCAGGGATATTCTTTGAAGCTAAATTTTACAATGCAGTAATTACATTGCTTTACTCCTGTCTCTTTAAAAAGAATTCTGGTCTTCCTTCTGCTAGCTTTTTGAGATTTCTCACGAGGAATAGGCTTAAGAACGTATGAAAACTTTTCCATTGTAAATAATTATATAACCCTCGCAATTATTTGGAATAAGTTTGGGGTTTTGGGGTTTTGGGGTTTTGGGGTTTTGGGGTTTTGGGGTTTTGGGG